CCTCCCTGGCAGATTCACACTAAGACTGGACCCAACTGCAGACACAAAAGAAGGAAGCAAGGCCTGACTTTTTCTGCCTCCCACCTTTATCTCCACACCATACACCCCCAAAGTAACTTTGGGCTTCCCAGACCCTTTTCCCAAGAATGCTTCCTCATACAGCCACTCTGCAGTAGCTAGTGTGACATGGCAGAGGGAAAAGGCAAGCAGTTCATGAACTGGCAAACTACCTGTCTGCTCCGGGCGGAAAGTGGGAGAACACTGCAGTGAAGGAAGGAGAGATGGTTGAGGGGGAAGGGTGCAAGCAGGGCAGAGAGGAGGAAGCAGAGGGACACATCCACTGATGACCACATCCATGGAGGCTCAGACCCTGACATGTGAGCAGTTGGTGTGGATGGCCTTGACCATTAAAATATCATTAAAAAAAAACTTTGCAAAGCAAACAAAATCATTACATTGCAGTTATGGATTTCTGTTTTTAAGCAACTGCACAAATTAAAATGTCCTATCCCTATAGATAATTCTTATTTTCACAAGTGCTTACTTGTGAAATACTGTATAGCCAAATTAAATGGTTAACGTGAATGTGTAATTGCTCACAATGACCCAACGAACGAAAAATGAAAAGCCCTGCTGGCAAGTTTCACAGGAGGCGCTGGCCTGCCTGCCAATGGCCTCGGAGAGCGTGGCGAGAAGACTTGGCTGGAGCTGGGTGGGCTCCCTTCAAAGTCAGCAGAAACGCAGGGCTAACACGTAACCAGCGTTCTCTCTCAGCACTCCTCTTTTTCCACAGAAAGAGCTGCCGTGCAGATGCACACTCTAAATACCTCCTGCCTAAGCGAGCAGGTCCTGACCTGACGACCGCTCTGTAGCATTACCCCTTCGGGCCAGCCTGACCCATCCTGGGTGCTGCCCGGCCATGGTCCTTCTGAGGACGAGTCCTGCTGAAGGCGAGTCTGGGCCCCACTTAGAACCACCGACTTAACACCCACAGGATAAGCATGTGACCCAAACAGGACCAATCAGATTCTCTCCTGGGAATCTGAATGGAGACAGAGGCCAGTTAGTCAGCGTGGTGCTGGATCCAAGAGATCATGTGTGCAGCATGGAAAGCTTGCTGGAAGTCACCCTTTTGGGAGGGGAAGAATGGAGCCCCCTCTGCAACCTCTTGGAGAGGATGCAGAGAGTCACTCCAGCTCATGATTCCAGACCTCATGAGGAATCAGAGAGCCTTGCAATAAATTCTCTTCTTTTTGTGTAGGCCAGCTGGAATGTTTGTGCCTCCCTCGACCCCAACTTGAAAGCACAGATTTATTCAGTTTTATTATGTCATTTTATTTATGTCAGTTTTATTCTCTCCCATATCTCATCACCTAAACATTAGAAGCTGAAGGAGTATATAAAATGAAGCCCCAATGAAACTAATCTTCGGGATTTCCACTCACCCTATCAGGCAAGCCACTGAGTACCTCCTGATCAATCCACTTACTCCTTTTACAAATCCATCAAAAGATATCGCAAAAAGTCCAAAACTACCCAGCCCCGTCTTCCATGGATTGGTTCTCCACACGCTTGAGTGCTGGGTACCCTGCCCCTGGCGAAATAGCAGGGCCTCTTGCTGCTCCTTGAGCATGTACTGCCAGGCCTGGGCATGTCCCCACTTCAAGGAATGAAATTCCCACCCATGCTCAAGGCCCAACTCAAGCATCAGCTTCTTCCCAAAGCCTTCCCTATGGCTTCGGCAGAAAGAAATACCTTCTGCTTGGAATTAGTAGAGATATCCACGTCTACTATCCATGAGGCACTCTCCACATGCTGGCTGAGTTGTGTGAGCATAAGAGACTGCTCAGTCCAGAGTGAGAGGTAAGTTATTAGCTGGGTGGCCATTGTCATCTCATCTGTCTGGGCCTACTGCCTCTTCCTCCACCTCCACCCCTGACTGCTTATTTTTCTCCATAACCTCAACAAACTTCTGCTTTACCATATAACTGAGAGTGTGCCTGTCCTCCCACTAGAACGTAAGCTCCATTAGCGCAGAGATTTCTGTTTTATTCACTGCTGCATCCTCAGCACCTGAAGAGTAGGTGTTCAATGAATATTTGTTGAATGAACAAATGAATATGTAAATGAAGTTGATCTCTGTTAATGAGTCTATGATTCTTTTAGAGCAATGGTCTCAAAGTATAGTCCTCAGACCAACCAACAACATCAGCTGTGCACTCGTCAGAAAGGCAAATCTCAGGCCTTATCCCAGAGCTACTGAATCAGAAACTGTATAGCAAATTCTCTAGGTGATTCTGGTGTGTGTTTGAACACCACTGTGCTACTCTATATACCGAAAAAGGCATATGGTGGGCACACAATAACACTTATGAAAGACTGACCTTAAGGTCTGCAGACAGACCCCTGAACTCCTCTTTGGTATATTTTAGTCATTCTCAGATCTTATCCCTGCAATCCCAAGAGTCTACCCTGACCACCCCCACCACATACATACAACATAAAGTTAAGTTCTTGTGTGTTTTCATAGCATCTTGCCTTTCTTCCATCACTTATATAGTAGACTATAGACCAAAGATTATGGCCATAAACTGCCTGGGTTCAAATTTCCACTTGACCACCTAATAGGTAATTTGAGCACGTCATTTTAACTTTCTGAGCCTCAGCTTCTTCATCGTAATAAGGTACTACCCCACTATCTTATAAATGAAATCTTTTGAGACTCAATGAATTACCATGAAGGCACATGGTAAGAACTATGTGTGAAACTCTATGTAAGAGACAGAGTGCTACTACTACCTTACCATACTTATCACACTACGCTGTAATTGCCTAGGCTATCAGTGGCAGGAACAGGGAGGAGACATACTGGACTAGGACTAGTCTCTGTCTTGAGGGCAGACACTGCATAAATGTTCCATGATTGGCAGCTCCTCCATGCTCCTTCCGCTACCCTACACTGCCTCACAGTGGCTGCCATCCCTAGAGAAAACAACCTTGTCTAGTGAGAATTATAAATTACCATCAACTCAAGCAAGAAACTCTCTATTTTCAAAAAGAAACAAATGAAAGAAGATATACAGATGGCCAAAAAATACATGAAAGATGCTCAACATCATTAGCCACTAGGGAAATGTAGAGTAAACTCACAATGAGATACTTTTCATACCCACTAGATGGCGATCATGAAAGACGACAATACAATGTCGACGACAACGTGGAGAACTAAGAACCTCATACACTGCTGCTGCTAGGAATGTAAAATGGTGCAGCCCTTATGGAAAACACTTTGGCCATTCCTCAAAGAGTTTAGCGTATTTACCATATGACCCAGCAATTCCACTCCTAAGTATACATCCAAAAGGAATGAAAACATATGTCCATACAAAACCTTATACATGACTGTTCATAACATTATTCATAATAGCCAAAAAGTTTAAAACAACCCAAATGTCCATCAAGTGATGAATGGATACAAGGGAATATTATACATACATCCATAGAAAGGAATGAAGAGAAAATGTAGGTGGTACTCTAAAAAGAAAAAAACAAAACTTTTTTTAAAAAAGGAATGATATACTGATATATGCTACAACGTGGATGAACTATGAAAAAAGCCAGACATGAAGCACTTCAAATTATATGATTCCATTTATAGGAAATGCCCAGACTAGGCAAATCCATAGAGACATAAAGTAGATTAGTGGTTGCCAGGAGCTGGATGGGGAGGTGGGAGGGGGGTAGCGGGAGTGACTGCTAATGGGTCCAGCATTTCTTTCTTGGAGTGATGAAAATGTTCTGGAATTAGACCGTTGTGATGTTTGCATAAGTCTGTGAATATACTCGAAACCACTGAATTGTACACTCTAAATGGGCAAACGTATGGCATGTGAACTATATATCTCAATAAACCTCTTTTTTTAAAAAAGCAGCAACAATAGCAAAAATGACCATTTCTAAGCACTTGCTTGTGCTGCATAGTATGCTAAATAGCTTTTGTACATTACTCATCGTACATTTTTTGGAATGTCAAAAAAGATCAGGAGGTACACGAGCCTAGCACAGCCTCGGGCACATAGCAGAGGCTCAACAAATATCCCAGCTCTCTCCGCCTCAGCCAGTGATTCACTAGAAGTTCTGGCACAGGCCAGGGTTTGAAACAAAAGCCTTGGGGAGGAGAGGAGCCTGGGACCGGAAGGAAAGAGGCCTGTTAACCCCAAAGCTAAACTGGGGAGAAAGCGGGGAGAGGTGTTGTGATCCTGGGCCTGGTGCAGGGACAACCCCCACCCCCCACCCCAGCAAAGCTGGGCAACTCCCCCGACCATCTCCCACCCGAAAAAGGTTTCTGTAAGGCTGGAAAGCGAGGGCAGCGGTGGTTGCACGCACAGAACAGACCCTGCACGGGGATGGTGTGGGTTTCGATCTGACTCCATACTGTAAAAAAGTCTCTTGGCCTCAGTTGCCTCACTGAGAAAATGAGGGTAGAACCTACCTCACAGGATCGCTGTAAGACTTAAGTGAGTTCACTGCTGTGTGGAAAGTACTCAGAGCTACGCCCAGCACACTGCTACCGCTCAAAACCCGTCAGCGCCTGCTACTGTTAGCCTCAACAGCATCATCGTCGTCGTCGTCACACGTGAGACGCACCAGCTGACCAGATACCCAGGGGACCGGCCAGAAGGAACAGTGGAGGGAGGCGGCAGGCGGACACCAACATGCACTCTTGGGGGCACCGTCGCGAAAAGTGGCCATTTTAGACCGGCTATGCGTGTGTCCCTGCGCTGGGAGGAGAGGGAGGGCGTGATGTGTCCCAACCCCGCAGCGCAAGGTCCCGTCGGAGTCTCCGGCCACCGCGGCGGGATTGGGGTCCGCGAGCATCCGGCCCGCAGCACGGAGGGGGGCAGGGAGGGAGGAGCGCGGAGGGCGGGGCTGGGGAGGTCTGGCCGGGGAGAAAGGCCTGTCCGGAGAGCGGGTGCTGGCCCGGCGGAGGGGCGCGGTACCTGGAGTCGAACTTCTGGCCGTCGGGGAAGGTCCCCACGTAGTGGTAGCGCACGAAGTCGCCGCTGCGCACGGTGCGCGGGCACTCGTCGGGCACGAAGCGGCGCTCCATTTGCAGCTCCCCGTCGGGGCCCAGGCCCAGGCCCGCCACGGGCGCCGCCTGCCCGGTCACCCAGAGCAGCAGCAGGAACAGCGGCGGCGGCAGGGGCCGCCAGCCCCGGGCCCCGAGCGCCATGGGGGCCGCGAGGGGAGGAGCGGGGGGCGCGGTGCGGCGCTCGCGGGGCGCGGGTCGGCTTGGGCGCGCGGCGGCGTTTGCAACGTGGAAAAGTCTCCCTGCCCTCCCCGGTCGCAGCCACAACCCCCTCCCCGCTGCCCGCCCCCCGGCCCCGGCCGCGAGGGGAGGAGCCGGGCCGCGCGCCAGGGGCGGGTCCGCTGCGCCCCGCGCCGCCCGGCCGGCCGGGCCCTCCGCGTTTGCACGCCGCGGGGGATGGGGGGCCGGCGGCTTGGGAGGGGACCCTAGGTGGGTCTGGGAGGACGCGTCCCCGAGCGAGACGTCGTGAACTTCTCCGAACCGCGCTTTGGCCCGCAGTCGGAAGACAAAAGCGTTAACCGCCCAGTCCCACCCGCTGGTCTCCACCCGTCCCTGGAGACTCCGCTTTTGGGGCCGTGAGAGTCTTCCTACGTGGCCGCGGATCCAGTTTCCCCCTGCTGCTTTGGAGAGGGAAGAAAACTTAGAACTTTCAAAACTTAGTTGCAAGGGTGGAGTCTACATTGAAAGAGACTGAAACCATTTAGGATTTTTTTTTTTAATACCTAGAGGAAAGGGGAGACGTTTATTGCGAGAAATAACTCCCCTGACAGTTGTGGAAAGTTTTAAGTTGCTAACTGTGAGCATATTCCAAGCCATCAATGGATGCAGTGTGAGCAAGCATCTATTTACTAGCAAGCATCCCACAAGTTCCCACATACAGGACTATGCCAGGGAGACCCAGGTGCCACAAGGAACTCGTTAGAGTAGTTTAATGCATCCTTAGCTTAGAATTGGCTGTTATAATTTATTAAAATTTTGGAATAATAAAAGCAAATCACCAAAGATTTCTCAACTCGTTTTTTGTTTTGTTTTGTTTTTAAAACAGAGTCTTGCTCCGTCGCCAGCCTAGAGTGCAGTGGCATCGTCATAGCTCACTGCAACCTCAAACTCTTGGGCTCAAGCCATCCTCCTGCCTCAGCCTCCCAGGTAGCTGGGACTACAGGCCCTCCACCACACTGGCTAATTTTTCGTAGAGATAATATCTTGCTCTTGCTCAGGCTGGTCTTGAACTATTGACCTCAAGAGATCCTCCCCACCTTGGCCTTTCAGTGTGCTAGGATTGTAGGTGTGAGCCAGAAATTTTTAAAAGGGAAATGATAAACTTCAAAAAGTATTTATGAGTATATATGACAAAAACATAAGCATAAGATGAACACCCCATCTCTGTCGGTTTTAAAACATGGCCTGAAATTCTGTGATGTTCCTCCCATTGAGAGGTGGAGTTGTGATCATCCGGTTGAATCTTCATAGGCTTGCAGCTTTGTTGACCAATAGAGTACAGTGTAAATGATGGTACATGACTTCTGGGACTAGGTCGGAAAAGGCCATCTTGTTTGCACCTTGTTCACTAGAACATTGCTCCTGAAGCCCTGAGCTGAGTTAGAAGTCCCACTAACCAGAGGCTTCCATGCTGGAAAGGATACATGTGGACTCTGGCTGACAGTCACAGCTGAGCCCATCCCAGCATAGGCAGCAAAAATGTGAGCAAAGAAGCCTCTGGAATAGTTAGCCCCCCAGATGTTCAAGTCACCCCAGCCATTTGCACAGTAAAAATCATGTAGCAGAGACAAACCATGCCTGCTACACCCTGCCCGAATTCCTTACCCACACAATTCACCAGCATAATAACGTTGTTGTTTTACCTCACTAAACTTTGGGGTAGTATAATATCCACCATAGACAGCCAGAACCCAATTTCTAATAATAACAACAAAGAATTCAGAAAAGAAGAAACAGAAATAAATACATTCACCCTCCCTTGTACTGAAGACTGCAGCTCCCCAGTCTATAGATTGTTTCTCAGAAAGTAAAAGCTTTCTTTTTTTTCCTCAAGAAAAGAAAAATAATGAAATACCTTTTTCACATCTCAAATTTGTAAACATTAAAAAATAAATACAGGCTGGGCGCGGTGGCTCACGCCTGTAATCATAGCACTCTGGGAGGCCGAGGCAGGCAGATTGCTCAAGGTCAGGAGTTTGAAACCAGCCTGAGCAAGAGCGAGACCCCATCTCTACTAAAAATAGAAAGAAATTAATTGGTCAACTAATATATATAGAAAAAATTAGCCGGGCATGATGGCACATGCCTGTAATCCCAGCTACTCGAGAGGCTGAGGCAGGAGGATTGCTTGAGCTCAGGAGTTTGAGGTTGCTGTGAACTAGGCTGACACCATGGCACTCACTCTAGCCTGGGCAACAATGCGAGACTCTGTCTCAAATAAATAAATAAATAAATAAATACAATATAATACATATTGTTGGTGAAAAGACATGGAAAATGGATACTCTCACACACTGACAGTAGGTATATAAATTGGTACAGAATTTGGAAAGATGCATTAGTTTTTTGGTTCCAAGTGACAGAACTCCAAATTCACTTAGGGAATAAAGAAAATTTATTTAATTTTTTTTTAATTTCGGCATATTATGGGGGTACAGATTTTAAGGTTTCAATAAATGCCCATTTCCCCCCCTCTCCCCACAAGTCTAAGTCTCCATCATGACCATCCCCCAGATGGTGCACATCTCACTCATTATATATGTATATACCCGCCCCCCCTCCCCCCTAATTTTTTTTTTGAGACAGAGTCTTGCTCTATTGCCCAGGCTAGAGTGCCATGATATCAGCGTAGCTCACAGCAACCTCAAACTCCTGAGCTCAAGCAATCCTACTGCCTCAGCCTCCTGAGTAGCTGGGACTACAGGCATGTGCCACCATGCCTGGCCAAATTTTTTTAATACATATATATATATATATATATATTTAGTTAGTTGTCCAGCTAATTGCTTTCTATTTTTTTAGTAGTGATGGTGTCTCACTCTTGCTCAGGCTGGTCTTGAACTCCTGAGCTCAAATGATCTGCCCGCCTTGGCCTCCTAGAGTGCTAGGATTACAGGCGTGAGCCACCACACCCAGCCAAGAAAATTTATTTTAGATATATTAGGGGCTCTCACTCAATTGAAGGGTTCAGTATCTAACTCAAAGAAATGGCAGGGCTTCAGCTGCTAGAAGGAGCTTAGGAAGCGCTAGAACCAAAGATACAGATGCTTGCTGACATTCTCTGTCTCCATTGCTTGTTTCTGCATCTCTGTGTATATAGGCTTTGTTCTCTTTAAAATGCAGACTGCCTTCTGCCACTTATCAAAAACACCCCTGACATCTCCCCAGTTTAGGATCTTGCAGCTCCTTTACCAGAAAGACATTAGGACTTTTCCAGGGTCAACTTTTTAAATCACTGGCTTGGGACTGGAGCCCTGTGTGCTAAACAATAATCAGGAGATCTATGCTTGTAGGGTAGACACAACTACCAGAGCCCACCTCTATAGTTTGGAAATCATTCCCCAGAAGGGGAAACCACAGGGAGTTAACTAACTGGTAGGGGAATTTAGCAATATATATCAAAAGCCCTAAAAATGGGCATACTTTTAGTGTTACAGCTCTTTTAGAATTTGTCTAGCAATTTTTCCAATCTTCACCAGAAGACCCCACAAAAGAAGAAAATTTTTAAAAAGAAAAACAATGGGTATACTTTTGGCCTAGCAATAGCCTTTCTACCAATTTATCCCAAGGAAATCATAAAGAATGCAAGCAAAGATTCTGTTACAAGAATACTCTTTATAGTATCATTAGTAATAGAGGAAAATAATCCAATATGGGAGCGTTTAAATTAATTACACATAGCCACACAGCTTTTAAAAGTAGAATTATAAAGTCTTATTGATAATGGAAAGTTTTCATTTTTAAAAGCATATTAGAAAACAGTATGATGAGTATAATTCTGTTTATGTAAAAACTAAATATGAAAGCACAGAAAATTTCCTTTTTTTTTTTTTGAGACAGAGTCTCACTCTCTTGCCTGGGCTAGAGTGCTGTGGCATCAGCCTAGCTCACAGCAACCTCAAACTCCTGGGTTCAAGGGATCCTCCTGCTTCAGCCTCCCCAGTAGCTGGGACTACAGGCACGTTCCCGGCTAATTTTTTCTGTTTTTAGTTATTTGGCTAATTTCTTTCTATTTTTAGTAGAGACTGGGTCTCACTCTTGCTCAGGCTGGTCTCAAACTCCTGAGCTCAAGCAGTCCTCCCACCTTGGCCTCCCAGAGTGCTAGGATTACAGGCATGAGCTACTACACCCAGCCAGAAAATTTATTTATTTTTTCCTCTTTGACAAACTTCATTGAATCTTGTGTTGATATGGAATATCTCTTATTGCATTCTAGAATCCCAGGATTCAAGGGAGTGGTGAAGTGGCAATGGTGAATTTGGGTATCTGGTCTCCCAAAAGTACCTGCTGCTCTACCCCTGACTCTGCAGTGGCTGCCAGGTGGATCACCGCTCTACTGGAGCCATGCCGCTCCATGGCCAAAGCGAGAGCATTGGCAGTGAATTGCAGACACTCTTCCTTAATCATGCCTTCCCAGTAGGCAGCATCAACATAGCCATAGATATAGGAGCTCCTGGAGCCTCTAATGACAAAGGACTGCCTTCCCATCATACCCCCCATGGGCACTGAATACACCTGCCCTCCTTCTTGAGGGTCCCAACGAACAAAGATAATTTCCCCCATCAGGTCTTCCCGGTATCGGTATCGGTAATACATCTCTTTAAAGAGTCTGGCTCTCTGGGAGGCCGAGGTGGGCAGATTGCTCGAGGTCAGGAGTTCAAAACCAGCCTGAGCAAGAGCGACACCTATAAATAGAAAGAAATTAATTGGCCAACTAATATATATATATATATATATATATAAATTAGCCGGGCATGGTGGCGCATGCCTGTAGTCCCAGCTACTTGGGAGGCTGAGGCAGAAGGATTGATTGATCCAGGAGATTGAGGTTGCTGTGAGCTAGGCTGACGCCATGGCACTCACTCTAGCCTAGGCAACAAAGCGAGACTCTGTCTCAAAAAAAAAAAAAAAGGCTGGCTGCCATGCGCACCAGTGGAGGCTCACTCAGTTCAATGCTGTCGAAACCAAGCTGATAATAAGTGACTGCATCGCCTACTGCTTGGGTATCAGCCGCTGAGCCTGCTGCGCGGCAGCGGAAAATGCTGTGGTGAATAGGGGTCAGCTTGTCAGCCAATTGATTGGCA